GGAAGGAAGGAAGGAAGGAGCCAGCCAGGAAGCACAGGAAACTCTGTGTGTCTACCAGAGGGTGAAGGGCCAGCCCCAGACTTGGGGAAGGTCCATCTCCACCGAGTCCCTCACAAATAGGCATCAATGAACACCGTAACTGCAGGCATGCCAGGGCCCACAAGACACATGCACGCTCAGAGCCCCTCCAAGGCCATGTCTGCTGGTCCTTAGTGCTATGACAGGGACTCATGGGACTTCCCTGTGTAGCTCAGCCCCAGGAAGGACCCATAGGTGTTCAAGAGCCGAACAGCCCGGTGACTCTTACGCTGCCCCACCTGGTAAGCACCTGCAGAAACCCTGGACCAGGGTGCTGCGGGAGCCTCAGTTGAGGACCCACAGCAATGGGGGGCTGGACTGAGCCCAGCAGAGAGCAGAAGGCCAGCTGAAGTGTGACCTGCACTCTGGAGGGCCCAGCCCAGGCCTGCATTTGGGAACTTTTCCTCTTTACTCTGACTTTGCAGATCAAGAAATCCACCCCAAAGCCTGGCAGACAGGCAAGTTCTGGTAAAGAGGCTCGAAGGTCGGTCCTTCCGCCAGCTGACTGTGTGAACTAACAGACACACACACCCCCTTCAGTTGCCTGGGCCTTAATCAATCTCCCCATTGCGACTTTGACAAAGTTAAATTATCTTGACCATCCCACCCACTCGAATGTCCTGAGAGTCTTTGGAAAGACCACATGTCCCAAATCTGAGCGAACAGTCCCGGTGGCCCTGCAGGGCCCGCAAGAAAGGGCATGCCCTGAGAGTTGCGGTCCTCCAAGGGGGACAAGTGGAGTGACCATGGCCACTGAGCTCTAACAGCCAGGGCCCTGGTCCTGGGTGTGTGATCTCAGGCAGGCCCCAAACTGCTCTAAGCTTCAGATTGCCCAACTCTGGAAAACGGAAGTCAAAGCCATGGCCCGCAAAGGCTGAAGAGCTGTTAGCAGCACTTGGTTGTACTGTCAGTCACACCTGTAGATGGAGGGGCTTTTTGTACCAGCAGCACTGCTGTGGCCACCAGTTACCACCCTCATGACTGTTGCTCGGTGTCATGGAAATGGTCCCCACAACTCCCGGTGAGCCCAGATATAATGGAACCAGATGCTGCCTGGCCCTAGACCGCGCATGATTGGATAAGGATCCATGTGGACCCTTGTAATCCAGTGTGTGTGTGTTGTGGGGGTGGGGGGGTGTTCATTGGCTAATTTTGGAAATCGACAGCCAGGTCTTTCTTTCTAATGTCTTAGTCTGGCACCCAGAGCATTTCTAGAAACCTGATCCGCATCCTAGCAACATGCGCGCCTCCACTGGCAAGGCAGGTGGGGTTGCACCTACTGCTTGGATAGCAAACCCCGATCTACAGAAGGCAAGAGTTCCACCACTGGACCACCAAGCCCCTCTGATACTCCCACCCCCACCCCTAAAAGCCCATGGGAAAGATTAATCCACTCATGCCCTCATGCCGACAAACCCTTCGGGACTGCAGTCTCTATTAGTAAAAGGAGTTGAATGGTGCACGTCTTCAGGTGAGCTCAAGCTTCCAGGTTTTAGCCCCGCCCCTTCCGGGGATGGGCTTAACCGGCACTTTCAAATGGTAATACGTGAGACCTTGGTGAAACATAATTAGTCTTGGGACTAGAAGGGTAAACAAATGTGTAATTCATGAGTTTGCTAATTGTCCTTCATTGTGATCTCCTGCCATTTTTGCCTCGAATCTCTGACTGACATACGTGCTCATGGCAAGGACTCAGAGAGAAAGCTGGGAGTGAGCCCCAGTGGCTGCCTGCTGCCAAAGCCTGGCACCTGGACTCCCCCTACCACCACCACCCACCAGTCCCCTTCCTCCCTCCCTCCCAGACCTGGCCACCCCCAGCTCTCACACAAGGCAAGAAGCCCGCGGCACACTCCATCCTTTATTTTCTTAAACTGTACATATACATAAAATACTTTAACAGCACATCTATGGGGGCAATTGTTTGGTTTTAAATTATTATGAGACAGAACCTAAGGGGAGCTTTATTAAATAAACATAAAGTTGGAGATGTAAGGGTGCACATCTGTGTTCTACCATTGCCAGTTTTACTTGACCTGCTAGGTGTGTGAGGATAGAAAAGACGCATCGAACTGAATAAACAAAATCCATTTATACCCTGAAATGCTGGCAGGCCACTCAAGGGATTATCCAGAACATCTACAGCACGGAAGATGGCCTTGCCATCTAATAAAAATTAAAACTGATCTGTTGGCCTCTTTGGTACCAAAATTATGTATAATACATTTACTGTATTCCATTTTTTTGCAGCTATAAAAATAACTTCTTTTTTTTCAAATGGCAGTTTCTGACTAATCATGCAACTAAATCAGTGCAAACCGTAAAAGCAATCATTCGCTTAAAAAAGAAGCAAAGGATTTCATTTCAAGTATAAAAAAATAGAAAAAGAGTCATAGGAGTCCAGTTTTTTCTAGTGAGGGTCAACCCCTTAAATTGCATAGTTCACGTGGCACTTGGATGTCCAGAGGGTGGGCAAGTTCTGCGCTCTGCCAAGGGCCACCTCTGGACACATGGAGATCGGCAAGTGCTAGAATCATGTGCATTCAGGCAGGCCTGCAAGTGCTACGCGGGGCGGGTGGGCAGGCAAGCTGGCAGGGCCAAGTCCACGGCCAGCCTTGGTGGCTCGGGCCCACCTTGGCAACTTCTGCAAAGTAGCTAAAAGCCTTCCCCACCTCTCCAAGGCCAGATCAGTTCTCCCCTTCTGCTAAGGGGCCACCCAGGGCACTTCCAGAATGCCTTCGCCCCACTATTTTCTCTCCTGGGCTCATCTCTTTGCCTCGGAGTCCTTCCCTACGCCTCCCTCCAAACCAGACAACAGGCCCGGGTGTCCCCACTGAAGGGGGCATAGAGTGCAACTTTTTTTTTTTCCATGTAGAACAATTAAATTTTTAACTTAAAAGTCATACCTGGTAGAAAATCCCCCTTTCCATTACATAACAGATACAAACGACCTGTCGACTGCTAATAATCAGTTAAAGCATCAAATGAACACCCCCTCCTCACCTCATAAACAAGCACATCAAGTCCTGTCAGGGTCCCGTGGCCAACAGTCCAATGCTCACTGGCCCGTCTCTAACGGCGCCCCACAGGGGGGGTCCTTTCTGGCCCTCTTCCCCCACGAGGCTCCCTGGTCTTGCAGCATGAAGGACGCCAGGCAGGGGAGGCAGAGCAGGCCTGGTACAAGCCAAGGGTGACGCACAGCCCTCTGTCTGCCCACACACTCCCTGCTTTGCCTCTCTGCAGCTCGCTCTCTCTGTCTGTCTGTCTGCCTGCCTGCCTTTGTGCTTTTATGTATGCTCAGAAGGCGCGATTCAGAGTGGCCAGGCCAGCTGGTGGGATGGAGGCTGCTCACCCCATTCTCTCAGACTGACAGGCATTTGTGGCTCAGCTGCCATTTGTCAACACATCCATTTGCTGGTATCCTAGAGGCTGCAGTGTGGGAGGCAGGATGCATCTGGCTGTGCGCGTTATATGTGCATTTGAAAGTATTTCGTATCCGTTGAGGGTCCTTGCTCTGTGTTTGACTTGTTGCCACATGCAGTAGAACAGTACATCAGGCCTTACCCTGGCACCATCTCTGCACCCCTGGAAGGATGGCCCTCAGTCCACCGTGCACTCCCGGTTCCCAGAGCGGCCGGGAGAAGCCCATCTGGGACCGTCCTCCACACCCCGGCCAGTGGTCAGGCACAGCCACACTCCTCCACAATCATGTTGGGCACATCGCGCTTCACGATGTTGTACTCGTCATCGAAGTAGAGCATGGACATGGTGCTGAGCTTGGTGGGGATGCAGCAGGAGTTTACCATGGCGGGGTTCAGCCCGCGCATGCGGTACTGATTCACCACCGCCGTGTGGAAGGAGGATGCCGACCCAGGGATCCCCGCCAGGTAGGCTGGGCAGCTGCCCTCACAGTAGTTTCCGTAGTAGCCTGTGGGTGCGATGATCCAATCGTTCCACCCGATGACACGGAAGTCAATGTAGAACTGTTGCCTGCAACAGAGGTTGGTGCGGCCGTCACACTCCAGGCCCCGCTTGCGAATTCGGTGTCTGCTGTCGCCCAGCCGCGCCTGCACCACCACGAAAGGGCGGTGGGACTCCTCGCTGGGATCTACAAACACGGGCACCACGGCCAGCTCAGGGCAGCCCTCACACTGCACATCCAGGCTCAGCCGCCGCTCCCCGCGCTCAAACAGCGCCTGGATGGCCTCCGTGAGCGGGAAGGTGTGCCAGCCACTGCGCTTGAGGTCCACCTTCTTCTCCACGACGTTCCACCGGTCACCGCGCCCCTGTTCCTGGAAGTACACCTTAACCCGCACCTTCCGCCGGCTGCCCTTCTCCAGGACGTATGGCAGCAATTTCAGGTACAGCCACAGGCTGGCCTGAACCACAAACAGGTTCTGGTTGCCCTCGTTGGAAATGAAGAAATACAGGCGGACCCGGGACGAGGCAAGGCCATCTGCAGAGACGGAGAGAACGGTCCAAGTTAATCCAAGAACACAGGAGGCAATGGAGGCCCTGGACTCCCGACTGCCTGGGCTGGAATGTGGTCTCTCGGTCAACAGCTGGAATAAGTGATCAACTGCAATGCCATTCCTAAGGTCAGCGTCTCTGGCTGTAACCCCGGGAAGCAGGAAAAAGGGGATTTCCCATTGAGAAACCCTGACCAGGTTGGAGCAGAAGAGTCCGGACCTATAAAATCCTGCCTCGCCTCTCCCAGTCCAGGGCCCCTGGAGACAGGCTGTTAGGCCGCAAAGATCAACAGAGAAACTTGTCAGGAGGCCAAGATCTTAACTAGTGCCTATAGGTATCTGTGAGAGCTGAAAACAAACCCAGGGCAGCACTGATGACTTGGGTGGGTTGTTCCAAGAGGGATTTTTTTTTTTTTAAGTTAAGCATTGCAAAATCGAGCTACCTGCCTCCTCTTTGCAGTGTTTGCCTAAGCATGATCTGATCCAACCCACTGCAAACAAGCACGTTCTGCTTGGATTTCTGACGCTGGGACAAGGGCTCTCCAGGCTGCGAAAGGCAGTCTCACTTGAGAGTAGTTCTCTGGGGCACAGGACGCACGGCCTGGGAGCATGAGGTCCAGTCCTTTACCCACGCCTGGCTCCTGGTTCACATTCAGAATCACCAGCCAACGGGGGCAGCGGGGAGAGGGAAGGCTGGCGGGTAGGTTTTCTCAATAATTGGATTCAACAGGAGAGAGGTTGTGCCAACCCACGGTGGATTCCTCCCTCGCCCCGCGTTACACTGCAGTGGCCTGCTCTCTGACAAGCTCTACCTTTTTCTGTCTTTTCTGCAGGAAGGACAAATAAGGTGGCCTTGTGGCCAGGGCTAGTTTGATCACACCTCTCACTCCCCAGCTCCAGCCCCCTTCGCAGGCCTCCTGGGCCTCCTAATAACACAGACGGACATCTGACTTTGAAATGGGGGAAACAGCAGCCTTAAAAGCCGGGCTTGGACAGGCTGCCAGTGACCTGAATCTGTTATTTATAAGTCAAAGAGCTGGCTCTGTGAATCGGACCAGAAATATAACAGCCCCCGCTGTCATTTTGTGTGCCTCCTCGCCCTTCCAGAAGCCCATTTCTACCCCAGAGCCCAAAGCACCTCTTTATCGGCACCCTCTAAAGGCCCTCTAATTGCATGTCCAGCTTCCCCTGACTGGCACAGCTAAGACGGCAATGCGTTCTTTCTTCACACACACACACACACACACCAGCTCCTGATGGTCTCTGCTTTCCCGGACACCCGGCCATGTACAACTTTTCATCCCTGGGCATCCCCAGGCAGCTCGAGCTCAGTTTGCCAGCTGCCTGGAGGGTGGGGGGCACTTGCAGGCAGAGACACAAACCGCACCACCCGCCACCCCGCCAAGGCTCTTGTGTCCCCACCCCCTATCAGCACAGGGGCTTCCCCGTGAGACCTTCTCTGTAGTCCCCTCGCACAAATGGGGCTGAGCTGGCGGCACAAAAGCCAGCCTGGCTCATTCAAGTCCTGAAAAGGACAGCGGAGGCCAAAGCACTTGCAGCATTGCTAGTGGGACACACTTCCCTCTTTCTTTTAAAGTTCCCAAAGATTTCTTTTTCCCTCCCGGAATTTCATCTTTAGACAGTAGTCTCGATTTACAATCTGGGGCCTGGGGTAAATTCCGGAAAGGGTTCCAACTCTTTGTTAACTCAGAGGCTCTTAGGCAAGGTGGCTGCCTAACAGAGTTGCCCCCGAGCCGTGTCATTCTCTGCTGCGTTCGATGACGGGACCTGTGGAGAAGCCTGCCATCCCTGGAGTCAGGTGCCCACACAATCAGCAGAGAGCCTGCTTTAGCTCTCCTGGGCGAGGTTTCAGCAATCCTGACAAGCCCACGCCACTCTGCGATGAAAGCGGCCCCGGGGGCCTCTCCTGCAGGCAGGCAGGCAGGCACGCGCGCGCGCGCACACACATGCACACACGCACACACTCCTCTGGCCCACATAGATCAACAAGCACACACATTTCCATCCACACTCCATTTCAGCCACACATTTCAGCCTACACTCCGTCCGTGGGTGGGTGGAGGGGGAACATTAAGCAATCACTAAGCAAGTGCCCGGGAGCCAGGGCCGCACGCATCTGTCGGGAGGGGGACAAGAGCGCCCAAATAGCCAGGGCGGAGTGCAGGGCTCTCCGTGACGGTGACTGGGGGCGGGAGGGGGGTCTGAGACCTGAGAGATGTGGACAGTGGTCTGGACAGAGCGGAGTGTGCAGGGGCGCCGTGGAGCGGGAGTCCAGGTTGCCCCTGGGGACCCGGCAGCTGCGGCAGGGCAAGAAGTGGGAGGAAATGCGGAAGGTCAGCACGGGCCTCGGCCGCCGAATGCCCAGAGGCCCAACCCACCTGTCTCGGCGAAGCTGATGATCTCCGACGCCCGCTCCTGGCCTTCGGCTGCGGGGCTGGCGTGTCCGTCGAGATGCGGGATCTCCACGCGGCCGTCCTCGCGCACCTTGCCGGCGTGCAGTTTGCGGAGGGCAGTGACCATGGCGGCCTTGGGCACCGCGTGCGTGATGTTGGGCGGGCCCCGCATCTGTAGGCGGCTCAAGATGTGCCGCTTCACCGCCTCCAGGAAGTCGCCGTCCACTCGGCCCGGCTCCTCGGGCCGGCGGAAGCCGCCGCACGACGTGCAGGCGTCCTGCTGCCCGCTCCGCGCTCCGGGCGGCGGCGCGGCGGGCG